CAGAAATAAGTTGCGACTGGGGAAATTGTTTTACAACAATAACAACTACTCATACTTATACGGCATGTGATACACGACTATTGCGAGTACTCACTTAACGAAGCGCTTAGCAGCGGAACATAACCAATCTTGATGACACTGACAGCGAACATAACATAAACATTACAGCTCAACTTACACTTGTATGCAACTTGTTATTCCCTAAATAGGGTATATTTATACTATGTTTGGTACGAAGCTTGTGACACCCACAAAGAGACCCTACAAAAAGTATATATAAATGAACAGCGTGAATAGCTGGGTTGATTTAGCAATGTCCGTCTGCCCGTCCACCTGTCTGTAGAAGACCTCGAAAATTCTAGTCTCTTAGTTTATATGTATAATGTATGTATGTGTACTCTGGTCTCGCAGTTTTCGAGATCAGGCTCTAAAATTTCACACACGACCTTTTCACCGCAAGAAGCTGCTCATTTGTCGGAGCCGCCGATATTGGACTACCACAACATTTGGTTGTTATAGAAACTGAACAATCAAAATTAAGTTTTTGTATAAAAGCTTTCTCATTTGAACAGATAACTTCACGAATTTCGACATTTTGGAAGAAATTTTCCCGATCGTTATACATACTATATGACATATCTGCCATACAAACTGCACGATGAAAATCAAGTTCTTGTATGCCGACTTATTTATTTGTTAAGCGCATTCTAGCTACGTTGCAACCTAATTTAACGTTTTTTCTTGTATTTGCTATTTACTTTGTCTTTTGTGAGCAACACACAGAGTAGTGTAAATATATTTGTAGCGCGCATTCACATTACTGATAACAAATTTGTAGTACGAGCGATGTCCTAATATGTATGTAAATGCATTATGGCAAGAGTCAACTGAGATAAGGTAAATACAGAACGATGATATTCAATATTCCTAACAACTTGTAGCCACTGGCATAATATGTGTATGATTTCGAAAGTAGTTAGTTCTGCTGAGTTCTAAATCGAAATAGTTCAATTTGGCGTAACTCGAACCAAAAAAAAAAACTTTGCGTAGACTACTACATTTGATGCAATTCACTGTCTGATTATACTTATATATTAGAGAGCGAAGAGAAGCTTTGAGGTCAGATGCTAAACTTTGTTGATATAAGCGAGCGAACTGAACGCCAAACTTATTCCAATGATACTATAGACTGCCTTATATGAACGAAGACATACTTCCACTTTGGGAACAGTCTCTGAAACTATTTAATATTTATAAACACAAATTGTGATAGATAATAATATGAGTAAACTCACACTAAGCTGGGAATGTTACCGTTACAGCCTCCTCAAACTTTTTAATTCGACCTCACTTGGTCAGCTTAAAAACGCCGGTGAATATAAACATTTCAAACAAAAAACTTTTTAGTGTACATATCGCTACAACATCCACAATATGACAATTTCACATACCATATATAATATTTAACACGCTCTTCGCTTTAATCACACATGGAGTGCTCATCGCCAATGACGAAATTTTCATAACGACATACCGATACCGACGACACATGCTGAGCTTTACATGTGTTCTGGCATGTAAGTGTTCCAAGACGATAAAATGTTCACCACCTCAATTACCGAAGCCCGCTTGATATTCATTCGATATTCAGTGACGATGAAAAGTGATCGAACTAACTTGACGCCGCAGACAGTAGGCATAGAAAGATTTTATACCATGTTCAGACCGACACTTAATCACACGACTGTTGAGTGGTTTATCCCACTAATCTTATAAATTTATCAAGATTTCGTCATAATTTTTGTATCGAAGTGATTTGAAACTGATCCACGCTAATTCTCTCTGTGCGACTCTGATTTTGTGCCATCAACTTGTCAACATTGGAAATCTGTTACATTTTCACAGCTGATGTAACATGTAAACAAATACATTTTTTTAAAGCAATGAGTCTAATTTCACCTGAAAATCGACTTCCCAAATGAAAATATACGTCCATTATTTCCTTTATATGGAAAATATTTAAAAGAGTACTTCTTTTATTACAAAATACTATGTGACAATGTTTTCTTTTGATAAATATTGAGCAATGTGAATTCTTGAATGGCAAAAACAGCTGTTTTTTCATCTTTCCAACGGCAGTGAGAACGGGCTGATTAAATATAATCTAATCCTTTCAAATTTTTGGTCTGAACATGGTATTAGACGCGAATCCGGTAAGTTAAGATTATATGTATATTCATACTATCCTAAATATGAGCAACAGCTGGTTTCGCGACCTTCGCGAAATTGGGCGCCTATGCGGAAATGCTGTAAGGACAAAGAGCGTCATATAAACCCAACTCAAGAAAAGTAGCAGTTATTGCACCACTTTCAGAAGGTTCTGTGTCGATAGCCAGTAAGTAAACGCCAATCGGTTCTACGTAACCGGAACGAACCCGAATTTCTATTCGGCAACGGACTGTCAGCTCGGCAGATTTCTGACCCTATAACTACAACAAGCACTTGCGAATTAGTCTCCTTATATTAATAGCACTGGCAAAGAACAAGTAAAATTACGCCGGAGAGGATTGTGAGTTGGCGGCCGATATGTTAACGCCACCGGCAGAAAACTGTGTATTTATGGTTGGGAAAACTGTAGAAACAATGGATATATAGTATATGCTGAAGATTTTGATTCACCACTATCAAGCATATCATTCCAAAGCTGATTGGAATTTTGTCTCGGGTAATCGTTCATCCAACAGCGTTTTACTGTAAGTTGATCTGCAGGTTGACATAGGTAGACGAATATTATTGGTTATGAATTTAAAATAACAACAGCCAAAGCAGAACTTCACAAAGGCTACTCACCTCAAATTGACTCCATCAGGAGAAAAATATTATCACCATAAATCTTGTGCTGTGCAACCTGTTGCACCACATTCCGTAATTGCGCATCATCGCAAAGTGGAGTGAAGATCTACAAAAGATCAAATAAAGAAAACACCAAAAAGACTGTGTTCACGTCGCTATAAAAACGCCGGTTCATTGTTTATAATATAAAGCATTATTCGCATCAGTTGAGAACTGCTGCTCAAAACTGGTTGTAACTCCACTTGACGATGGTGTCGGCATTGCTAGTTCTATGATCAAAAGCAGCAACGTTGATAAGAAAGCTCCTCTTTTATGACGTTTATACGGAAGATGTATTCGCATTGTTGTTGCTTGACTTGGCTAAAAGATGCTGTTTCACCGCGGGTTCACATGCGAATACCGGTTGTCATATGTAAAGAGTGACACTTCAGCATCTAGCAATTATTCTGTAACATGTTTTGTTTTTATTTTTAACCGGCTTATATTATTTATTTTCTTTTGCCTTCAATAAATGTAAACCGGATTGCAAAAACTAACTAAAACTGAAAGTAAGATTTCCTGGACCGCGCACCAACTGGATTCGAAGAGAGCGTTCCTAGCTAACGAACAAGCTGATCAAAAGTGGTGCGCGATTAAATTCTGTGTGAGACTCTGTGACAGAGACATTTGATATGATCAAGCAGGCTCACCCAGATGTTACTTTAGCAAGAAGGGGTGTGTTTCGGTGGCGCCAGCCTTTTTTGGAGGACCGGGAAAAAGTTGCTGATAAATGGACAAATTCAAAGTGAAAACGAAGCTCGTTGTCTTTTTTGACATCAAACCACCATGAATTTGTCTCTCCTGGACAAACCGTCTACACCAAGTTTTACGTGGAAGTGCTCAAGAGACTCAAACGAAAGGTCAAGTTGCACCACGACATCGCCCCGGATCACACCGCTTTTGTTTTGAACAGCTACCTGACCGAGGCCGATGAAAGGCAAACATTTGAGACGAAAGAGAGGATCCGAGGCTTTCAAGGCTATTTGGGATAATGCTTTCTATGACGCTTTCAATGCTTTGAGATCGCGCTGGCAGCACTGTATCGACGCAGAAGGAGCCTATTTTGAAAGTGTTTAAAGAATTGTAACGATTGGTTCACTACATTTTTTTAAATCGACTTTACATTCCGGATAAACCCTGTGGGCTTCATAAATTGGTTAAATGACCCAATGAACAGTTGGCATTTTTTAAAAAAGTGAACTTCAAGGTATCCTACTTTCTTAAAGAAACAACACAGAAACAGAACATTTTTTGGCATTTGCTTTTTGAAGATTTTCTCCTTCATATGTCGGGCGCGTTGATCGTCCATCCGTTCAGTCCATTTTCGATGAGTCGTTCGAGCATATTAACTGGCAACTGGCGAATGACACGCGGGATGTTTGCTGCAAGGCCTAAATCGAAGTGGAATTGTCCGCATAGACTTTTCACTTCACATATCCTTAAGGGAAAAAGTCAAACGGTCTGATATCACACGATCTTGGTGGCCCATTGACCGGCCAAAAACGTAAAATTATCTGCTCACCGAAGTGTTCCCTCCGGCACCGGCTTGTTGAAACCAAATGTCGCCAAGATTACGAGCTTCAATTTCAGACTTCGAATTATCGATTATCATGGCGCGATAACGGTCACCATTAACTTTGATGTTCTCACCGCCATTATTTCTGAAAAAATATAGACCGGTGATTCCACCGACCTATAAATCACACCAAACCTTTTTTTTTTTTTTTGTGTAAGAAATGGCAGCTCTTGATTCTCTTCAGGTTCCTCTTCGTTCCAAATGTGACAATTTTGTTTTTTTTTACATACGCATTGAGCCAGAAATTAGTCTCATCGCTGAACAAAATTTGACTCGAAAACGTCGCATCTTCTTGGAACTTTTCAAGAGTCAATAGAGTAAAGCGATGTAGCTTGGGAAGGTTGAGCAGCTTCAGTTCTTTCCCGAGCTGTATTTTGTAGGGTATCAAAACGCGCCATGTCGTTCCATACGTCAGTCCGACTTGCTGCAGCGCCGAATCGACCCTCCACGATCTTCGTGTGCACTCTTAGCTACGGCTGCTATATTTTCTTCACATCATTTACTACCGGAATTTTATTAAATCAGTTCAAAATTGAGTATTTAACTTTATTTACTTATTAATTATTAAAATTAAAAATGTATGTGGGTAAATATATATGTATACATGATAATGGAGTAAAATAATGCTAATTTTGATCCATTTTCAGACTTCAAGTTCTTATTGCACAGGTCTAACAGCCATATGCACATATTTTAGAGAGTATTCATGGCCATGCCAGTGTGTCCAATCGATACCTTTGCCATACTTATCCTTACTGTATTTGCCACGTAAGTACTGGCCATTCAAATTACTGCAAATTTGAGAAAAAAATTTAATTAATATAAATTAAAAGTTAGATGTATTTATAAATCGAATATACTATTGGCACTCACCTATCATGACACGCATTATACCACCACGCGCCCGTATAAACCTCTGCGCAATTACGATCCCACATATCGTGATCGGCATCTTTCGTGCTGAACTTTTGACCTTGACTCGTGCGTAAAGAATCCCCTGCATTTCCCTCAAATTTGCCAAGCACATTCAATGCATATGCTTCATGCTCATCGCCAATGGCGAAATTCTCATAACGGGCATAACGCGTTACATTATCGAAGTCCTCCATTTGCACCCACAATTCGTTGAGCGTTGCATGTGTTATGCCATGTAAACGTTCCAAGCCGATAAAGTATTCACCATTCCAATTACCAAAACCTGCTTGATATTCATTCCAATGACGATGGAATGAAATCGAACCATCTTGACGCCGCTGCACCACCGTCCAGGCTGCACCGCCATTGGTATCAAGCAGACAGTAGGCATAGAAAGGTTTCAGACCCGAATCAGGCAAATAAAGGTGATAGATACCGCTCTTAGCATTAGCACCTGCTCGTTTCACGGCCTCTGCGCAAGTGGGCGCCAATACGGGATTACTGTAAGGACAAAGAGCGCCATATAAACCCGACTTGAATGAAGTTTGTGCATTGCAACCGCAAGACGATGATGCATCAGTGATGGGCGGAACAATATCTGATCCACCTGTTGCTGATTGTGCGTCAGTAGCAGGCAGGTTGGCACCACCAGCAGATGATTGTGAATCAGTAGCCGGTATATTAGCACCACCGGCAGAGGACTGTGTACTAATAACAGGCAAATCGACGCCGCCCACTGAAGATTGTGAACTGGCAGCCGGTATGTTTGCACCACTAGCGGAAGATTGCGTACTTATGGTCGGGAAAACTACACCACCAGTTGATGTATGTGTTGAGGATATAGATTCGCCGCCACCACGCACATCAATCCAATGCGGATTGCTCTTAACCTCTGGTAAACGTTCATCCAACAACGTTTTAATGTAATCCAATCTAATGGCAAGTAAGTGCATACATATATATTTGTAAATGAAAATGAAACTTGTTCGAAAACTTCGTAAAATCTGCTCACCTCAAATTGTATGAGTCCAGCAGTAGGAAAATATTCTCACTAGAAATCTTGAGCTGTGCCACCTGTTGTGCCACATTCCGCAATTGCGCATCATCGCAAAGTGGAGTGAAAGTCTATAAATATGGTCGTTAAAAATGAAATAAAGAACATTAAAAAGAGAAGTAATAAACCCGACCGTATTCTTCCAACGACGCTAGTAAAACGCCGGTTCATTGTTTATGCTATCAAACTTCGCTTACCGCGTTATTCGGATCAGTTGAGAACAGCTGCTCAAAACTTGTTGTATGTCCACCCGGCGACGGTGACGACGTCGCGCCGTTGAAGGTCAAAAGCAGCAACGCTGATAAGAAAGCTCTGCTACTATGACGTCTACACTGAAGGTGTGTCCGCATTTTTGCTTTTCTGGCTTTACTATGGGTTGGAGATGCTACTGCAGCAGTGGTTGTCTTACGACTGCCGCTTGCGCTTAGCGTTGAGTCACTCTTTATATGCGTCAAAAAAATCAAGTGAGTAAGAGAGAACAACGAAACTGTAACCGCCGGTGATTTTTTAGTCAAATGTTTTTGTTTTTATTTTGGGCAAACCCACATCATTTGTGTAGAACAAAAGTTGTGGCGAAGATTAAAAGTACGCCTTCACATGTATTTGAAGATCGAAATCTTCAACACATGAGTATCAGTTTTTGACATATTTTAGGCTAACAAGTCAATTAGAATTGTAATATTTTAATTATTCCATCTTAACAAATCAATTACAAGAACATTTTAGACAAGATTTTAGAAATCTCAATATAAGAATGAAGTAAGACTTTCGTTAAAGGCGCATAGTCGTGATTGTGGAAAAAAAACTCCATTTTAAGTTTAAGGTAATGGAATGATGAATGTGGAATTGAATTTCAAAAATGTAATTAAGACTAGTCAAATGATTGCTATTATTCTCACAATTCTAGCGTTACCGGTAAAAGATCTCGATTTATACCTACAACTTATCTTAAATATAACAATTTCCAAGGTTATAATTTAGGCAAATTTAGTAAAGTACCAGTAGCAAAGCTACCACTAAAGCCAAGAAAGCCACTAGGGAGACCTCTTAGAAAATTTATATATGTATATACCCACAATGAAAAGTTCGAAACAGCCTCGGATGAATATCGATAGCAATTTCCAACGATAGGAATTTAAGTGTGCTCTGCTCAATCCACTAAAATGGAGACCCCACAATCTGCGCCAACTGCCGTAGGATAAGCCTCATCAACATCGCATTTAAGGTGCTCTCAAGCGTATTGTGTGAAAGATACAAGACCACTGTCAACGACCTTATCAGTGCAACTTCAGGTCAGAAGTGTAAACAATTGACCAAAAATTTACCATGCGCCTAATATTGGAAAAGACTCGTTTAAAGAGGAGCGGCACACACCAACTCTTCGTCAATTTCAAAGCCGCCTTCGACAACACGTAAAGAAACTGTCTCTATGCCGACATGTCTGAATTTGCCCCGCAAAACTAATGCGGTTGTGTAAGCTGTCATTGAGCATTTCCAAAAAGCGCATATCCTATTCGACGGAATGGTGAACTGTACGAGATATACGACGATATTGACAGAGTTCAGCAGCTAACTGGCAAGGTCTTGCCGACCGTATGAATGAAAAGACACCCGCTTTAAAAGAATTCGACGCAGTACCCACTTGAGGAAGCAGAGAGACCTACACTCCGTTGGAAAGACCAGTTTGAGATGAACCCGGCTACACTTCGAATCTCCTATTGGCGCCAAATTGCGAAAAGAAGAAACGATTGGCGCGCTGTTGCATACTCGGCTGTAACCGCGTAAGCGGCCAATAAATAAGAAGAAGAAAATAAGCAAAATGCGGTGAGTAAATTGTTTTTTTTAAGGGCATCCGTTTTAACCAAAAAATTTATATAATTATGATAGAAATTCTTATCTTCTTTGGACCAAGTTAAACTGTGTGTTCGTAACAATTGAATGGAAATTTTTTTCTAAAATTGAATTTTTATCTCCATACGTTAGTATGTGTTGAATAGCTGATTGCTTACAACGCGAAAGGTTTATATGCAGATTTTTAAAGCGAAACATAAAATGTGTGAGTTTACTCAAAAAGTGTCGAAATGTTGTACAAGTTTTTTTGAATCTAAGTAGAACATGAACAAAAGTATAGTAGTAGCAGAATGCATTCAGTTAAGGTTGTAAAGTCACGGAAATCTTACCTCAAACGACGATAAAATCGAAACAGTTAAAGAAGCAGTGCTTGAAAATCGTCCTGTTGGCATATGAGATGTAGCAGAAGATCTCAACATTTCTTATGAATCGACTCAATACATTATGGTTAATGTTTTGGATAATATCTGATTCTTTTGCAAAAACTACGTTCATAAGAAAGTACCATAACTGATGTCGAAACATATTATATATTTATGAATAAAATGTCGAAATTATACAAAATCTAGCTCCAAAAATGAGGGAAATCCGAAAAAATAAAATTTACTGACCGGGACCATTAAGCTAAGACTAATAATAGTTTTTGGAATATTGAATTACTAATAAAAGATATAAAGGTCAAGTTCAATCAGTCGTTATGAATACGAGACATGTGAAGATCAATAAGAGCCTAACATTCGGGGAGTTTTTTCCATAGTTCTTACCTCTGAAGTCAGATTATCGTCACAAAATTCAATAAAAACTGCCGTAAAATGTAGGAAAGTTGGAACATTGAAAAACTGATCAAGTATGAAGTGTTAGATCTCTCTGACTCATAATTCTTTAGAAGCTTTTTTAACTTTTATCGGAAATTATACCAGCTTTTTTATACTATAATTGAAATTATTATTATTTCTAAACTATCTTTAACGATTTTAAAATATCGAAAACCGGTTCTCTCTTTTGACAATCACTTCCAAATTGAATTAAACTCCTCGATGGAGAAGGCCATTCTGCTACAAAATCATCATATTTTCTGCAGGTGAACCAAACCCATAATATTTTTAATGTTGTCAAGATGACAACAACTGAATCAATTCGATAAAGAATGTTTGTGCTGAAAACTTTTTATTGAAACAATCAAAATAAAACCGAATTAGCCATAATAGTAACCATAAGGCGCATAATAGTTTTGTCCGCCATAATAATAAGGATAATTTGGGGTGCTATAAAAATTATTGGTTGTATTATTTACTGGCGTTGTTCCTGTTGCAGTAGCTGTAGTTGCTGCTGTTGTTGTCACCCTATCGCGTAGAGCACTTATTAAACCCGCCGCAATTACACCAACATTATCGCTAGATAGTAAACTGGTCAAGAGAAGAGGCAGCAATCCATTGTCGCCGAACAGACCCGGTGCATCTGTGGCATTACGTAAAAGTGGAAATAACCGGCGCAAAGTACGCGCTTCGCGCATCAATGAGCTTAACGCTGTTTCAGCCGCTTGTATTGGTACAAAGGTGGCGCGGTTGGAAGGGGTAGCTTTGGCTACTTTGCGCGTCGAAGTTCCTGCGGTTGACAGCTTTTGCCCTTTTATTATGCTTAGTACATTTTCCATCGCTGTTTCTGCTGTTAATATTGTTGTTGGCGTATCATAATTTGTTGTTTCGTAGGTTGTATGTGACTTCACCGGTCCTATGGCTATTTCAGCGTTATTTTCTGTTGTTGTTATGTTTATTATGCCCGCAGCATAGCTGCCATAATTCACAATTAAAAATTCTGTCGCACAAATAATTAAAAAATATAACAGCATTGTTTTGTATTTTATTTTCCCGTTATTGCACACGTTTTGGACCTATTTTATGAAAACAATAAAGTCTAATTAATTATGTATACTAATAATTAATTTCACATTCAAAGCTAACACACAGTACGCWTTTAGATAATTTCGCGTACATATAATTTTTGTTTCATTGTACGTATTATATATATATATAATATAAATATAAATATATATTATATTATATACACCCAGGAAAGTATGATGTCAAATACTTACCACTCCTTTACTCAATGGTAATATAAATGTTTGTTGGAATGTTTCTTTAATTGGAAGTAATAAACGTCAAGTGCTTTAATGCCAGCATAGAAAAATTTATAATTCTATATAAAAAGTTGCTAAATACACTTAAATTTTAAGTCGCGTATCTAACGTAAATTTTTGAGAGTCTCTAATGCTACCGTTATTTTTGGATATCGAATATCTACTAAGCTAAACATATGCTAAGCGCTATATTCATATGTATGTAATTAGTAAAATCTGCAACGGGGGCTGTTTAAGAAATCTGTGAATGCAAGTTCTAGTTCAGCTATGTGCCACCACAGAGGCTGTGGTAGTTTTCATACCCAAGGCATGTAGGAATAACCCAACTCTCAAAAGAGTTTAGCCCCATAAAGTTAACTTCATTCCTGCTGAAAACGTTAAAGAGACACATTAGTTCCGCAGCGCCTCCTAGAAGCTTGTCCAAGGCGCATCACGCATATATGAAGGGCAGATCAGTAGAGACCGCACCTTAGTTGTGGATATACTGAACAATACAGCCCAGAACCGGGCTTCGTAAGTGGGTCTGTTGTTGAACCCGGAGAAAACGGAACTGCTTATGTACCTTGGGGTTGCCTTGGACACAAAACTGCTGTAGAAAAAAGAGTGAGGAAAGCAAGCAGTGCTGCCATCATATAGGCAGATTGCTCGGCACAACCTAGGGACTCTTTCCAGCTCTCATGCGGTGGTGCTACACAGCTATAAGTTTGCTGAAAACTGCCCAGCTCGGCAATGGCTCGGTAGGTAATCAACTGGGAAAGAAGATTCAAAATAAACATAGAAAAAGATGCCGTAAAGGTATGTTAGCTACAAGCAACGCTCGAAACATATTTACGGATGGCTCGAATATAATACGACGAAATAGGCGATGGATTTGGCGCGGGAATATACACGTAGGCAGCCAAACAGAAATCAAAGCACTAACCTCGTAGTGAATATCAGTGAAAAGTGTTGCCAGAAGTAAGCAACTTCACTTCTACTGGATGCCAGGTCACAAAGGCATCGAGGACTATGAGATAGCGGACGAGATTGTCAAGAACGATGTACTGCGACTAACATCCGAAAGCGTGATTGGGAAACCCATGCATTGTTATACGACGATCTTGACAGAAGCATGGTATATAAAATCAAACCTCGTTTAAATGATTTACCTCGGTGCAAAAAAGCAAAAGTCATATGAAGTAAAGCCATCGGAAGTGCACAAAATCTCTATTGGTACTCGATAGAAGAAACCGTAAGAACATGATGGGAATACTTACTGGTCACTGTCTGGTGGCAACATACGAACGCAGGATCGAGCTGTTAGATCGAAAAGACAAAAAAACGCGGGAAAAGAAAATGTCTAGAACAGGGAACCAGGGAAACAAAGGAGTATGTCTTGTACATTTTTCCCGCGTTGACAAGACTATGTTCTACACATCAGAGGTCCCCACAGTATGATAAATTGGAGGAGGTATCGATAGTGAGGTCAGGCAGACATCTTATTCGCTTTGTTACGAAGAGATGTCGAACTTATCGTGTAAACATCCGCTGTAATATTAATGATTCAACCGAATTTGAAAAACGATGAACGTGACAAACGACATGTTATAGTATTTCAACTATTCGATCCTTGAATAAGTATACGAAATGCTTAACCCAGCTCTGAATACAATAATGTAATCTGCCAGAAAAAAAGTTCATTGTAAATGAATACTAATATTTTTCAAACTCACTGACTTTTTCAAACCTTCTCGTACATATAGAATGTAATATTGTTGAATATGACCTAAATTCCAATGGTGATAAGACTAGGTGTATATATATTCGATTCTTTTAGAAGTACGACTTCAAAACTGTGACTTAATTCTTTAGAACTACGTCAGCTATGCTATCTTTAGATTATTGTTGTAATAGCTCACTTTTAAAGGTGAAATAGATACTATTTTAGCAATTTACATATTTACTAATTACCCTTGCATAGGGTGCCCATATTGCCTTCAAAATTTATAGTCGTGAATATTTTTAGATTCTGAGCTCTGTTAATATACAAGTACAAGCATATAAATGCATATAGACATAAAGCCGTAATGTGAGAAATGTTGGAGGAATGTGAAGTCTGTTTTATTGAATCACATTTTTTTAAACAGGTGGTGATTCTTCTAAAAATATTTTTAGCTGTGAACTTTTCAAACCCTTTTCCCCTTGTAATTCTACGTTATTTTCTAAATACTTTGTATTCAAACAGCTGGTAATCTTCTGGCTTGATAGCCTTCATTCACCGTTTCCGACTGCAAAATTCCCCTCGTGCAATTAAGGAAGCCCGAATATACAGTAATTGATTTATATGTTTAATTCTTTAAAAAATGTCAAAAGCCGGCATCTTATAAACGTTAACGGGGAAACCCCGAATGGGATGACGAATTAAGTGATACCAATTACCTTGCTTAAGAATTCATAATGTTCAATGTTTGGTATGATCAAACCGGTTCCATTTTGGCTGCAACCATAACAACGAGATTCAGTAAATTAATATGTTTTTAGAAGAGCCTCACAGCACTTGGCGTTTCATAAAGTTAATAAGTAATGTTATAAGAAATAAATTTATTTTCTTATAATTTATTATTAGGTTAGGCATGTTTGATTTGGTAGGCTCGTGGACCACGCATAGTTTTGTTTTTTGGAGTAAAATGGAGTGCCGTTTGAACTATGGTTCAAGAGCAGTAGTCATACTTCAGGCTTCAGCGCTTGACGTGACTTTCAATAGATTCTGTGGTCTAGCTATCGACACCTATTCTAGCGTTTCATACCGTGGAGCCTTCATATATTTGAAGAGCTGCCTTGATAGTGCTAGACAAGTGGACAAGAGATGCTGCATTTTTTCTCTGACACCTTGTACTTAACATTTCCCGCATTCATCTCGACCTATCTGTGTGCCTGTGTCAGTGAGAATTCCAATCAAGTTCCTACAATTTTTTCTACCAAAAATAAGCAAGAACTTTATAAATTTTTGATCTACCGCTTTGCACATAACCTTTGCAGTTTTGCAACTGATCGACCTTTTCATCGAATTTTAACCTTCCTTGCCATGCTTTTGTCCAAAACGTCGCAAAGACAATGCATGGGTTTAGCAATGTTCTTCACATTATCGACTGACAACTGTCCACTACTCTTGGCAACCTCATTTACTACCTTAGTGCCACAGATGTCTTTGTGACCTGTGACCATTAGTAGTGAAGGAGCTTCTTACTCCTGCTTTCGTCGATAACAACCTCTTTGGTGGTAAACTTTCTAGGGGCAGTGTCCGTAAACTCATCATGAAGCTAAGTTTTTGCTTCAACTGTATTTTTTTCTTCAAAATGCAATATGTGAAAAAGTGTGCAAAATCCTTTTTAGTCAATTTTTTTTTTTACAATAACAAAAGTTGCTTCACTCAAATTGCGCCTCATATGGATTTAATTCTAGTAGTGCCAGGTATGTCATGCAGGGCACTTTTCAATTGACCTATTAAAAATATAAGCCTTTTTCTCAAAGCTGAAGCCAGCACCTTTTTCCACTTAAGATCTCGATGTTCTGCAATTCAACAGAGTGAAAGACGCTAACACAGTATTTTACATATTGGTTACAGAATATATTTTTCCCAGCCTATAGGTCTACGAATTCGAAATATTCAGCATAGGCCAGCAGCTATACTCGTATATTCTTGTAAAAGGCTGTAATGGATCGGTGAAACTTATTTTCTTGAATAACTTTACTTTATTCTCAGCAAATTAATGAAGTTATTTCAAGTTCTAGTGCAGCTAATATTGTCCAATAACTTTTCACAGGCGTGTAACTGACATTTTTTGTGGTACCTACCGTGAAAATGAATAAAGTCTGGAAAAGACTGGTTGTTAGATGGAAAAAGAAGCTTTGATAAGACACCGAATTCACAAAATAACAGTTTATTCGACAGTAGAATTGCTGTGTTCTCTATGAAAAGCTTAGGTATCTTCATAGATAAATTCTTTTTTTTTTTTATTAATCCTACTGTTGGATTCATGAGAGTACTTCGACAGGAGTAGGGATTGAAGTTGCACGACACAATTTTTCATGGTCTGAATAGATCCCAACTTTGTAGTAAAATAAATATATTTTTCCAAAAGCTAAGCTTTTTTGGGTTATCCGGAGTTCCTAACTTTACTATATTTCTAAATATTGAATTTTTATAAACGATATAACATAATATTCCACTTGAGCTTAAAAACTTTTTGTAAGCGTGGGAAATTTCAGAAGTTTCTTGGATTCTTCTAACTTCTAGATGCCCACAAAAATGAGAAATTAAATAACTACGAGCATGTTTTTATGTGATCATTTTTATTGTTTTTTTCTTGGAGTTATACATTGTGATTTTATTTTATTTTCTAAGTATAATATTTCTCGAAGAATGTATGGCATTACGTATGGATGTGAGAGATATGGGATTGCAAGCATTATATATGTGTATGTGTTAATTGCTAGAAACAACATTATATTTCTTACCAAAGTTTTTTTTAGTAACAAACAAACCGAAATCTGAAAAAAATCTGTTTTATTTGATGCAAGCAATTCTCTATTCATAAGCTTCTTTAACTTTACTAACTTTCGCCGTATTTGCTATTTGTTTGTGTCAGACTATAAGTTTTTCAATAACAATATTACACAATAAGTAATCCAGTGCTCTAGATACACCCGGTATTAAACAACTTATTTAAATTTTTTTCCACTTAATTCCTTATTTAAGTCTTAAAGATTTTAAAACTTATTACTAAAAACTCGTGCTTTCACATTAAAACGTTTTAATTTACAATTTGCCGTACGATATCCGGTGGCAGCATGAAATTGTTCTTCCTCAACGGTATGTCACTGAGTTGACGATCGATCGGTTGACGTGTATCATAGAGCGATGGCGATTGGCATATAATGGCGAGAGTGCCGAAAACACACGACAGCGTAAATGTCCAGAGAAAGAAGCGATCTAATACCATCGATACAAATTTCCAGTCCTCGACGATCTGGTATAAAATAGCAAGGAATATAAGTTAAAAAAACGAAAATTAAAGATAACATTTCGAAATAATTACGTAATATTTTTTATTCCTATAAATTACATATTATATATAGCACTTGGATCAAGTTTTTGAAAATTCCATGACGAAAATTTGCTGATTGAACTTCCCATAAAGAAACATCAGTTTTGTAAAGGGAGGAAGAAAATCAAATGATTACGATCTCGGAAAGTTTCCTTTTCAGATGCTACAGTGATATTACGAACGTTCAAGACATCATCCGATTTGTTTAACGTCGGCCAAGCATTTTTAGTACCAATTCGCAGTGTGGAATTGTCTCCGAAACTACTAACAATTGAATCTTCGCCGATTAAACAACTCACGCGCAAACGACCTTAACAGTTCGGCATTCCGACTGGTGGAGATCACACCACTAACATCTAAACGTTCATCAGTCCAGATATAGGAACTATAACACCCAGATCTCTAATGTCCGAGTACATCGGGCTTTCTGCAATTATATGCACCCAGACCTCTCAGATAGGTGACTCTGATACAAAAATGTATTCAGAGAAGTCTGAGGAGTCCTCAACAAACCCAAGGTCTCGAATGTACTCATAAATCACTCGGCCGATAAGACTATTGTCCCAAAAGTCTTGCCCCCTACAGCTTGTACTATTAAAGACAACCGAAGAGTTGACATAAAGCAAAGAAAACAGTATATTTTGGGGCAAAACTTTTCTAGTGCGAAAGAACGATGACTATTATATTAATATTATTAACGATGAAGTATTAAACTGAACCGAAAGAGCAAGCAAATGGGTAAGAAGTTCTTAATTAATCCAGACATAGTATATTTCTCAAACTTGCAACATTGTTTCCCATCAGTATCTCAACTAGAAAACTATAGCGTTCGCATTAAAGCAGACAAAATGGTTTGTAAAAAAATTAAGACTATAAAGAATACTTAGACAAATCTGAAGAATTCCAACTTGAACACTGTAAATTTTTCAAAGATGAAAGCAATTATTGCATAACCTGAACAGGGTATACTAAGTTTGTTACCATTTTTGTAACACCCAGAGGGAAGCATCGACGAGCATATGTATAGAGTATATAGTACCTATATAAGAAAACAGCGTGACTAGCTGAGCCGATATCGGACAACTATAGTATATATCTGTGAAATGTCAAAATGTGTCAAGTTATCTTCAAGAAATTTGGCACAGGTTATTATCCAAAGCAACGCTACAAATACCGAACATATTGTATTGTTATTACAACAAACAGCTAGCATACAAATTTAACGACCGGAAAAAAGTTTACATATGACGACACATCTTTACCAAATTTGTTTCTGAGATAACGGTGCATTTTCCAAACAAAATTGTTCAAATCGAGTTACTGCCATACTAACTGAAAGTTCTTGTAAAGATCAAAGTTCTTGTAAGGAAACTTTTGTAATTGTGATGGGTATTATTGCTACGGGCAGCCGAAGTTGATGATTTTTCTTATGTTTTAATTTTATTTTGGGAACTTGATTTGCTTAGGTGTTAATTAGCGAGTCCATTTTTGGAGTTTTGTTAAAAAAAAGTGGTTCCCTTAGTTTTTCCAACAGCAGCCAAACTTTTTAACGAAGAAGCAACTAATAATCTCTTCATACACTTGTCCAGAATGGTTGATAGTACCAACTCAGGGCAAGTATGCATCTACAAGCAAAAGTGGATCCGACTTCATTGAATTATTTGCAATAAAAATTTGATAAATGGGTGAAATAAAGAGATAAAGTGCTTCTTGAATGTGCACTCAGCAGAAAAGTTATGGCTATAAATTATGAATTACGCTTAAAACACGCAGCTTTACGGGCGTATTGATTTCCTAGTTGTTGTACAATGAGTCGCTACAAGTGAAAGAATTTACACCATCAATCGAAATCCCCTTAAGCAATCAATAAACTGACAGCCACAATCAAAATAAATCTTAGAACGTTTCTACAACACTCCGATTCGTGCATCTCCTTTCAGCCGGAATGCCGCTGAGCTCTTCTTCTCAACACTCAAACATATTTAATATTTTATCAAGAATATTATTGTTGTATTCACAGGGTGTTATGCATAAAAATTAATAATWATAATAGCAAAAAGGGCGGAGAGTATGGCATGGCAACCAACACAATAACAACAACAAATAAATCTCTTGTATTACGGCAATAACATATTAATGCCACAAACTACTAAAGCAGAAGAAATAAAAAATAGTAAACCAATAAAGCGGAGATAAACAAATAAGCGTCGTAAAACTGCAATAAACCAGAAGAAACTAAACAAATAAATAGAAAAGGAGATGCTTGTAAAATCAGTGAATGTTTAAGTCCCCTAGTCCCTTGTTGTGGAAGAATCGAAGTTAGACGCAGTGCTCGCTTCAGCCAATAATAAAAAATTTGCAACACAAGCAAATATATATGTATATATGTATATGTAGATATTTTTCATGCCTTCAAATACTCACCTCATTATCCTTGTCGGCATCTTTAATATGCTGTGCAATAAAACGCACCGCACGTAATGCCTGCAGCACTTCGGGTGTCAAATTGCGCGGTATCACGTTGTCAGAATCTGGCGAAAATGAATGAGAGCAAAGAAAGAGAAAATATCGTAATTTAGTACACAAGTTAAAGGAAATTTTTAAATTAAATATATTTTTTTATCCAGAATTAAGCCGATCACCTTATCAGATAAGGTGGAAACATCTAGACACTTTCTCCTTCACTGTCCAGCTTTTGGCAGACTGAGGTGAAATAATCTTATTTGCCATACTTGGTACGAATCTGGTGAATTGTGGGTAATAGATATTAGCCAACTCAATAAATATGTGGCTGGTTCTAGACGTGGCCTCACAAATATCAGGCAATTTACCTAACTTAGCCAAGGTTACATATATGGATCGTACACTGGAGTCCCATAAATAAACCGCAACAAAGTAAGTATTATATTACAGCAGATACGTTATACTCCTTAGAGATGAAAGAGATAGCCGTTTATCTTAAGATTTCTTTACCAAGATTTTCGATAGATTTTCACAATTCTTTCCATTTAATTTTTTTATTTTTTCTTCAATTAGAAAATTTATTGCTGAAATCATATAATTAAGGATCGACTTTTTGAAGTTAAGATATTTCTATTTCGTCTAATTGTGTCGAAGATTTTAAGAAGTCAAGTTCTACTAAGAAAGTAAGTTTTGGCAGAAGTCTATATAGAAAATTACTAAACCAGCTAATGTTATGATATATGAAAGGTCTTGTGAATACTTACGAAGAATAACACCACTTGAAATAGGCTTTGAATCACTGGGAAAAGATCGGTTACGCTAAATTATTGACTACTCAATATTTATTTATAAGAATATATTTTAAAACGGTTTTACTATTAACTAATTTTAGATGTGTTTTATGCTCACCAATCGAATTTTGTACACCATTATCATACGGTCCCTCTTGGCTATCCTTGAACTCACTGGGAAAATCGCTAATACTATCGCTGCTTGCATTTGGATTGCATAATAGTAATAAAATAACGATGAAAAAGATAGAACAGTTAGTTACATATTAATATGTATTGTACATATTTTTACACAAATACTATGATTACAATTACATAAATGTAAGTATCAAATATAGTCAGTTATGCAGTGCGTATGAATAACCTGTGGACAAAAATAAGCTCAAGTAACAATATGTAGGGGTTGGGTGGCCTTGAAAATTAAAAAAAATCGATTTTTTATTTATCTTATTAAATTTTACAATATCTCTAGAATATTTTACTAAATTTTAGAGTTGATCCGAGTAACATTTTTGGAGATACAGCTTTGAGAACTTGTGCGCTCGAGCCTAGCTATGCTAAGTACGCCGTTTTTAAAAGCGTTTTACTCGAAACTGTATTTTTGAAGTCGGTGGACACAATTTAGTTCGAACAGTGTACATATTTTTAGAATTCCATATAGTTTTTGAATGGAGGATTTTTTTTCTTTTCATTGCAACTCATTTTTTTTAGGCCAACTTATTTTTTAAGCAAATAAAAAATGAGATTTTTTGCTCAAGGTCTGAGAAAACAGGAAAATTTTAATTTTTTTTCCTTAGTTTAAAAACCAGATTGTATGTATTAACGGAATATCTTTAGATTTTTAATTTTAGATTAACCAATAATAAGTTATGCTGTCCACGGCGGGAGCACTTTTTTTGTGAAGCAATCAGGGAGCGGTTTCAAAGGCTGAATTTTCCACATTTTTATATAAAAATTTTATGAGACATTGTTCAAATATGAACCTTTGATATGCCTTGTTATATTTTCCAAATATATGATTGCTTATATTAAAAAAATCGTAAAAATACATAACCCCTTAAATAATAAAGTGCGATCAGAAATCTCGAGCTGGTTTTACAATTTTTTTATTTAATCATTAAAATATAGGTTGTCAGGTTTTTTCTAATTGAAAAAAAAGTATTAAAATTAGATAAAAATATTTATAACAATTTACAACAATAATATTATAGTTTAACTAATCACGTATTGCGGTTACTTAGACCTCAAAAGCCTCGCAGATTTCGGTAGGGTTCCAACTATCGAAGCTGCAACAACTCGCATGCAACTGCATGTCGGGTGTAATGCGCACATGACCGATGGCAGCACTTGAAGTCATGCTTGAGCTCACACCACTGCATCTAGTAATCGGTCAAGTTGCCAAACACGCGCTTTGTACAAATGACACCACTAGAGTGCGACAGTGGTAAGGTAATCTCATCCCAGCGGATGAAAGAGTTAAGTGGTGTAATGCTATTGGCTCTCCTCTCAAGGGACTGCATTACCAACAGAGTAAACTTTACCAAGAAGTTCAAGGCAACCCTTAGCAACGAGGCTAAATAGAATGGTTCTCCTCTCGAACTACTGCTTAGGAATAGTACAATCAACGAACGTACATATAATCATACTTAGCGATAGTCAAGTGGCACTCAAAGCAATCTCTGCCCATTAGATCTAATTGCAGCTGGTAAAATTATTTAATCTAGTCTAATAATAGTTTATAGGAGATTTATTAAAAGCATTTTATATTACACACATAGTTGCCACCTGACTTTAAAAATAAATAAACATTTTCAAATGACTGAGCTCAAGAATAAACTGTAACAGGGTTGCCATTTGTAATAAATTTCAACTATATTCAAATATATATTTATATAGGTATTTATACAATTATTAATAAAAAGGAAACTTACCGTACATCAATTTCATTCGTATAGCCATTACTGGGCGTAGAATCGTCATAGTCTGGCAAGGTATACTGCGTGCGCCGCATCATCATCAATTTTGGCATAAAGTGTAAAAATAGTTTACGCACAAGCGGCGACATTTTATGCGTTGACGGGGATCTACATTAATACAATAAAAATATGTTTTCGTTTTAATATTCGCACACTTAAAAACGTAAGCACGCTTTTTTGCACATTATCGAGCACATGATTTCTTTGTTGTTTGTCATAAATTGTATGTGACTTACCTAAAGTGTATATTCAATACACAGACCGTTGTCCATACAGACAACGAGACCAGTATCATTGTAAATAGTAGATATTTGCCTAGCAGCGGTACAGCCAATGATGTTGGCGGAATAATTTCAGCCAACAGCAAGAAGAACACAGTCAACGAGACAAGAATTGAAATACATAACGTAACCTGTCAACGAAATTCAAGTGTAGAGTTTTCTTCTACATACAAGCACAAACATTTTGAATACTGTTGTTGTTCAGTGTAAGCGTACTTGAAATATTTTTTGGTTTTTTTGTTTTAACTATTTGTTCATTTTTTTGGTTTTCATCCTTAATTTTAATTTTTTTCTTTCTTTTTTTGTGTTTTTTTTTAGAGCTGGGCAATCCAAGAAATCCACCTGACAAACAAGCAAACAAACGAGCAAACCGTTTTACACTCAAATCAACAAATATGAAGACAGAACATTCGGTCAAACAAACAAATAAAAATTATCAAATAATAATGTATTCATTGCCAATTGTAAACTTAGTAACTAGTTACTAAACAAACCCAAAAATAAGACAAAGGAAAGCACACAATTCAATTGAGGTTAGAATTTTGAGTAATTTTGACACATATGCACATACAACTCAGGGAGCTTTTAGCAATAACTATTTGAAAATCTAGATCTTGCAACAGTAAATATTTTTGGTAATTAATTTTTTTATTTTTTTTTCTTTTCTTGTTTTTTTATTTCTCTATTGCTAAAAGTCAACATAAGTTGTCTATGTATTCACAAAAATGCAGCTAAATTTTGTTTTTTAAAGAATTAAATTTAGTTTTGAACAACAAAAATAATCTACATACAAACACACATTCGTTAAAGGTACTGAAAATGCTTGTTTGTGGTTCTCTTTAATCACCAAATAGCTTTATTTACACAAATTAAGCAAATCACTTTATTAATCAACTTATTTATCATTTATTTGTTATTTGTTTTCGATGTCCACTATCTACTTTTATACTTCAAAATTCCTTATAAGCAGATAAAATTAACAAAGTAACAAAATCTATATTCGAAAGCTACCGAAAAACTTTTCGGCTAAAATGTAATGAAGCATTTTCGAAGAAGGAAAGTTTTTGAAAGTTAAGAAATCAAAAATAACCTTTTTTGTGTTATGCCCAACATTTAAGTGTTATAACGACTTCTTTTAAACTGTTGTTATTACACTACTGTTGGCAATAAACAGTAAGTAGGTAAGTAAGTTTAATTTTAGATTTTGTGGAACTCATTCGTGGAAATATTTTTTTGACATCCGTGCCAAATATCATATCAAAATATTTAATAGGATTTCATACACGCTTGCCTTTCTGAAATACATAAAGCAGTAAAACAAAGAAGTTCATTAAATTTTGTGAACGGAGTTAAATTTCTGATGAAAAAACGTTCAGAATGCTGAAAAAGGCCTTCGGTGATAATTGTTTGTTGCGAGCAAGTGTTTTTGATTAGTACAAATTATTCAAAGAGGGTCAATGTTGACGACGAACCACGTCCAGGACTGCCATCAACGTAAAAAATATGCAGAGAACTTACTAGCATTATTCGAATGGAAGGATTAATGAAAATCATTTTGAAATACCATTTGGATCTAAGAAAAATTAAAGCACGGAATGCATTGATTCCAAAATCGCAATTTTTTTCGAAAAACAGTGCCGCCTTAACTTCTGTGAAATAATGCCTTCCGACTAACAGAATGTGGTGAAACGTATTATTACTGGCGATGACTCGAAAACAGACCATCAATCAGCCGAATATCGAATATAAATGTGAGCCGAAGCCGAAAAACCACGCCAAAGCAGGTGAAATATGTAGGTAACGTTAACAGTCTTCTTCGATTGTCGAGATATGATACACCCCAAATTCCTTACAACCGGCCAAACTGTCCACAAGGAATACTATTTGTGTGTTATGGGTCGTTTGCGCAAAGCTATTCGAAAAATGGAATTATAGACCGACTGCTACTGTTGGTTTTTGCACCACGATAATGCACCGTCACATACTGCATTGATTCTTCTATCTATTTAGAGGACTTAAACAACCGCTCCGTAGAAACGTAAATTAGCGTATTGAAGGCTATTCTGTAAATTGAATTAAAAAACTGGGGGATTACTTTGAGGAGAAATGTATCAATTTTAAAATTATGAACAAAGCCTATTTCTATTTTTTGCTCATAAGTAGTAGTATAATATTATTTTTCATTCTAAGAGAGTTCATTTTCAGCCAAAAAGGCTGAGAAACCTTCCAAAGGGTGATTTCGATGTGAAAAAGTTTTTTTGTTTAAGTCAGCGTACAAATCGAACACATGATATACCTATTATATGCTGGGGTAGCAATGGTTATAACGAAAGTTTCGTCTAGTAACTTTCCTACAGTTTAGATGACAGCAAACACATTAACTCTCGAAAAAAAATTAGCGAAAGACGTTAAAAGTAGAGTATCTAACGAATTATTCAATTATTCTAGCTAGTGGTCTTTTTTTACGATTCTGACCAAAGATATGAGAAATATTTTTCTACAGATAAAGACCTTTCAATTGGATTATTGGATATTGACCTCAACGGTATTGTAGAAAGCTGTAGGGCTAATAATCATGCTAGGTCAGATACTTTAGTCTCAATAACTGTGGAATGGGAATGTGTATTAGCCCTGTTTTCTTCCTATGGTTTGTTACTTGACTGCTGTGCATCAGACTATCTCAGCAAGCATTGGTCAACCAACAACTTTTAATTGTGAGGTTTTTCTGGACCAGGGTACATCGGAAGAGGCCTAGGGGTTAATGTTCACCTTTCTATTGTTGTAGAAATTCTAACTATACACTGTCCCATCGGGATTCAACCGTAAGATCGTTTATTTTACCACATAAAAGTTGCATCAGCTATTTGAAAGAATATGAGACAAAAACGTTTAAACACTTTCTACTCGAATGTCAATGCAAAAACATGTCGGATCTCATAGGCTTAGACATCCAGGTAAAATAGCAAATATATATATAAAACACCTTGGCTTATATTTGTGATAGATCCAGAGCACTTTAACGATAGATGATATTCAACTACAGCAGTTTTTCGTTTGCCTTCACAAAGAGCTAACATAACAATATTACTGTGATCGCTCCGCCATGCCGAAGGATCAGCTATTTGACCTAACCTAACTTTATGCTCTGAAGCTTCCAAAACTTAAATCCAAATTAATTACTTCATGTTATGAGGTTACAGATTTTGAGCTCCACTAAATGGGTCTTACTGGAATTAGACTTTTATGAAATTGTGAAAAAACAAATTCTACTATGAAGGAAAGGTTTTATGGATAACATGTAGCTACACCGCAGCAGTGGTTCTCATTAAAACCCAACAACCTCATGAAGGCGACTTAAAACTCTCAATATTTGACTGCTTTTAACAAGGCGCCCATGAAAATAGAGTCTAGCCATGTAGAGACTGAAGGCTGAATTCCATAAAATAACCCATATAAGCCTACATTCTTAAAGGAAGATTTAAAATTTCATATCGATTTACTTGTATCAATCCTATCGATACAAAAAAGAGATACGATATAATTAAATATATAAACAACAACATTAAATAACGATAAAACAATACACCACAAATAAAAAAAAACTTACAAGCAATGGAATTCAACATACAAAACACCAAACTTTTCCCACCAACGCCCCCTCAACCACATTTCTCATACAAAATATCACTCTTTCATTGTTTTACTACGGCTTTTAATTATATTGATTTATTTGCTACACAAAAACAACAAATTGTATACAACAAAAAATCGTTCAACCAAAATAATACATACATACAAATTGAAACTGTCAAAATGTTTGCAAATACCAGCAAAAAACTACAATCAAAACTGCGGCGCTACTGCGAGCCAACCAATCGATCTCAGCTTACTTGTATGTATGTATACGTGCAAGCACGTGTATGTATTGGTATTCTTGTATTATGCGTGTACATTTTGTGCTGTAGGTATGCGTGTGTGTGTGTGTATGATATTATCGATAGCGATGCCCTTGCAAAGATGAGTGTTTCACTTAATTTATGTAAGTAATGCTATTTTTGAATTTTTAAGAATTTGGACGTTTTTGTTGCAATTTTTGATTTTCGATGAAATTACGTTATGAGATTTCATTACTTCTATTAAGCATAGCGCGTACTTTTTTTTTTAGCTAATCTCCCTCGAAAAGCTGCTGATAATAGCTCGGTACTTAAAAGTACTTAAAGTACGCCTATGCTTAATTGCTTTCAGGTGGGAATAATTGTGAAATAAGTATGGGGCATTAATAAGTGATTAAAATGTAAAAAGAGAGTATAGAGTGCATATGCTAATGAGAATTGAGAGACTAAGCTACGCAAACGTAGAAAAATATGTTTTGATTAATTAGAGAGTAGTTAAGTTAGTATTTATTAGTTATTTATTGAAAATTGCAAAATAGTTGAGTATGAAGAGCTTAAAATGTTTCAGTTTACTCAAAAAATTGTTTTATTAGCTAATTTGGTGCTTTTCTAACTTATTTTTTATTTCCGATTTCTTTTGGTTATGTATCTAAACAAAAATTAATAAAAATATATATATTTTGTGCATTATCATTTAAATTATAAAT